AAGACGTACTCATGCATCTTCTTTACGGTGCCCATCTTGATAATGACCTGCCTCTAAATGCTTCCGGGACGGAAATTAGTGGACGATTGACATCCATATCTCATGTAATTGCGACTGTAATGAAATTAAATGATTGTAAAACATTCTCAAATGCTGACAATACTATGTTGTATGTGCATTATATTTGTGTACAGTGGTCACACCAATGCTGTCACTGAATATTAAGACTAATCATGCAGTAGTTGACATCCTTGAAGCACAATGCATCTCACTTGTTGTGATCATGATAAGCCGACCTATAAAATGAAGCTGATTATATAAAAGCACGTGCAATTACTTGATGAATTAAGAAACCATGTACGGAAATAAGAGGGGGTACTTGCGAATCCCATGTGTTAATTTTTAAAACGCTTTAAGAAAGAATAATCATAGACCAGAAGAGACGGGTTGCAACTCCCATTAACAAGACCTCTATGAAGATGGAACCAACTAAAACGAATATGTCTCCCTTCTGTACATCAATTTTCCAGTTAAGGAAGCAGGGTACAAGAAATATTGCTCATACAGTGGGTATATCAAATGCAAAATCACTAGATATACTGGTTAAAAAAAGAGATTAAAATTCTATCCAAAGCTGAATCAATATTCAAAAAGTCGAAACATAATAGAACAGAATTCTAGGATAAATATATAAATGAATGTGTCTCACCCCAAAAATATTAAAAAAAAGGAAAACATCACGAGTGTGGAAGGCTGAGAACATAGGCCTCTCCAAGTGTTCCAACAATAAGTTTTGGTGCACTAAAACTAAGTCAGCTTTCGCCATAGAGAAACTTTGGAAGCTGATAGGCACTTCACCNAAAGGAAAACATCACGAGTGTGGAAGGCTGAGAACATAGGCCTCTCCAAGTGTTCCAATAATAAGTTTTGGTGCTTTAAAACTAAGTCAGCTTTCGCCATAGAGAAACTTTGGAAGCTGATAGGCACTTCACCTTGGAAAAAACAAACCCTGTCTTGGAGGGATTTCCATCGACGAGAGAATGCTCATAAATGTCTTTGCATTCTTGTACAACCTGTTTTGCAAATAAAATGTATGTCAAATTTGTCAATGAAGATTCAAAGCCACTTCTTGATTGGCCATAATCGTATGCATGGTTGAAGAAAATCGTTCCAACCATGTGATGTTGCGCTTTGCTACAAGACAAATTTTGGATGCATGGAATCACCAGAAATCACGCAGACCATTAAACCCAGTTCTATGCAGCCAAGGGGGCTCAAACTCGAGACATGAGGGTTTACATCTCACCCCTTTGTTTGACCACTTTCAACTCGTGCAAGTTTTATAGTAATGAATTATTAATACCATAGAAATCCAACAATTTAAAAGCAAACTAAAATTTTCAAGTTCCAGAAAAGCTCATGGGGATTAACAGCCAAAAGATGGGTTGGGGGATGATAAGAAAAAGGTAGTATGAAACTGCATTTATCTCATATGATATATTGGCATAAGCAAGCCGTACTGTTAACAGTACTGTAGAGCTTTTTATGGCGCCAATAACTGGTCTTCCAGAAATATCACACCAAAAATTGTTTGAAAAAAAGAAATATGTTTCTACCTTAAAGAAAGAACTTGCAAGTTTGACAAGCTACGTTGAACATAATTTAGTAATTCAATTCCATGGGACATCTTAAAGACACCCAATGAAATGATTTTGTGTGGCTGTTCTCTGAATTTTACATGGGACATCATTACCTAGGTAACTGCTTTGAATCCTACACATTGAGAAACATGCTTACAAAAATAAACATACCTCCTTCGCATCCTTCCGTGGTATGCCTTCTCGCAGTCCCACAATTTTTTCAACTACCTCTGGCTGCAATCCAACAAAAAGGAGATTCTGAACCAGAATTCTGACTAAATTCTACTACTTCTAGATTTAATGGTGAAAACTAGATAATTTCAAAATAATTCATTAAATGGTGACTCATAGTTTTTAATGGAACTCCTGAGCTACTGAGACATTAGTTGAAAGATGACCCAAAAACATTTTACCAGCAGTTTGCAGTGTTCAATGGCACTTACAGGACAGTTTGGTTGATGTTCAAGGATATTTGTATAAACAAGCGTGAAAGAATCCGGGCTCTCAGCTGAAGCAAGATCTCTCAAGTCACTTAGTATCCGTACTCTGTTTTCAACTTTCTGTACCAAAAGTCAGATATTTGAATCAAGCATCTACAAACAAAATTGTGGGTGGGCATTTTCTTTAACAAAATAAAATACATATACTTGAGACCATATATTACTGCATAAAATGGAGCAGAACTTACAGAAACAGTAATATATTCCCTAAAGAAATCCATTAGAACCTCTTCATCCAACCTCATCCTCTCAATCGTTTCTTCCTTGATGTAATTTTTCTACAATGAAGAGATCATCAGAACATTCAGTTCATGGAAAGAAAGAATCTTACATACAAACACTTGTAGTATATCCAGCGAATATAAAATGGTATATTTTCTCTTAGAAACCTGGATGAGTAGATGATCAACATAAACAACAACAGTTTCCTCCAGGCAAGCCTCAACAAAACGCCTAAATGATCGTTCTTCAATGTACCTTAGTCAATTATGCAACAGAAAATAACAACGAGCTTCAGTGCATGCACTCAAAACATTGTTTTGTTTGTGGGTAATAGAATGCATTTGAGGATATAAAATTATTTAAATCGTTTGACAAGGTTACCCAAATTAAAGAGAAAANTAAAATAACAACGAGCTTCAGTGCATGCACTCAAAACATTGTTTTGTTTGTGGGTAATAGAATGCAATTGAGGATATAAAATTATTTAAATCGTTTGACAAGGTTACCCAAATTAAAGAGAAAAACTTACATCTTCACATCGGTAAAATAATCACCAAATGTGGCAACAAGGTACTCTGTAACCTGTCCTTCCAACCAATCTGAGGTTTATACCAGAAGAAGCAAATTCAGATGAGTGGGTTAATGAAAGTAGTGGGTCTGCTGAACAAGATGAGAGGGCTTGGAATTACTTTCTCATAGGATCTTTGTTCAATTAAAGAACTAAGTTTCTCCAACTAAAATTGTGTGCGCTACAAGCAAACTTGAAAATGAGGTGCATGAGACATAAGTTTGGTGGCCTGAAGATTCCACCTTGGAAAAACACTCCTACCCAAAAAAAAAATAAAAAAAAAAAAATTGTGCAGCATGATGCCTTTTCCCCATTAAGTTTAGAATATTTTTCGCCACCATAAGTATGTGTAAAATGTGCAGGTTTATGCAAACAATTACAAGATTTAATAAGTTCGTCAACACAGAGTAAAAATTGATTCACCTTTATGATACAGCTTGACGAGTAACTCCTGCACTCCAGGATCTTCAAAGATAACACTAACGGTTTGATGCACAGCTTCCTGAAATCATTATGAAATCAAGCATTTGGAAGTCTAAAAAGAACAACTTCCTTAAAAGAACCTTTTATCCACATGCAAAATGCACACTCGCCATATAATAATTCAGACGAAATCATGACTACACATGAAACTGCATATTATCTGCACTTAGAAACGAAAAGAACAAATATAGAAGGCTAAAATGTTTTCTTGCATCACTCTTTTCTGCATCTACTTACCATTGTTTAAGGTTACGGTAGTGACTTTTTTATAGGACACTGAGCCGCATCAGCTGCAGCATTGCAAAAGGTGGATATGCCACAATTAGAGGGC